GGCCCTGACAATCTTCACCCCAGGGTACTCAAGGAGCTGGCGAGCATCATAGCCCAGCTATGTTGGCTAGCACTATGGAAGAAAGAGACTTGGGGGTCATCATTGACCACGAGATGAACATGAGCCTGCAATGCGATGCGGCGGCTAGTAAAGCGACCAAAACGCTGGCTTTCATCCATAGATGCTTCTCAAGCAAATCCCGGGACGTCATTCTCCCCCTGTACTCGGCCTTAGTGAGGCCGCAGCTGGAGTACTGTGTCCAGTTTTGGGCTCCACAATTCAAAAAGGATGTGGAGAAGCTTGAGAGAGTCCAGAGAAGAGCCACGTGCATGATCAGAGGTCAGGGAAGCAGACCCTACGATGACAGGCTGAGAGCCCTGGGGCTCTTTAGCCTGGAAAAGCGCAGGCTCAGGGGTGATCTGATGGCCACCTACAAGTTTATCAGGGGTGACCACCAGCATCTGGGGGAACGTTTGTTCACCAGAGTGCCCCAAGGGATGACGAGGTCGAATGGTCACAAACTACTTCAAGATCGTTTCAGGCTGGACGTAAGGAAGAATTTCTTTACTGTCCGAGCCCCCAAGGTCTGGAACAGCCTGCCACCGGAGGTGGTTCAAGCGCCTTCATTGAACACCTTCAAGATGAAACTGGATGCTTATCTTGCTGGGATCCTATGACCTCAGCTGACTTCCTGCCCTTTGGGCAGGGGGCTGGACTCGATGATCTTCCGAGGTCCCTTCCAGCCCTAATGTCTATAAAATCTATGAAATCTATGAAAAGACCAACTTGACGCTGAAATGCATTAAAGATTCAGTATAATTGAAACGTGATACTGATATAATCAGTTATTGAAAAATGAATGCAAATCTAGGTTCTTAAACTGAGCCAAAATTAGACAGAAGGATTTATCATAATTTTTCTCTCTTAAAGGAGCAGGATATAGTGATATACTTATTTGGGTAGAAATCTAAAGTACTAGTAAAAATGATGAAGTAAAGCTGCAATTTTAAAATATGGTTAAACACTAGACTTTTTATAGTAAAAACACGGTAATTTTACTGACAATAAAACACTATTGTAACATTATGTTGAAATGCAGTGATTCTATTTTACTCATACCAGGGATGCTGTTAGGCTGGATCCTCCATGGCAGAGAGAGATAAATCCAGTTTTAAACTAACATTAAAAAACAGCTCTCCCATTTTAGTGTAGGAAAGGGAGGGCCCTATTCTGTGCTGCTTACTATATATAACTTGTTGTATGCCCTGCTTTTACTGTGTGCCACATGCATTAGTAATTTAAACTAAACAGTCTAGGTATTTTTCCATTCAGATTTATCAAACATCCTTTGCATCATAAAAGTCATCATAAAAGTACCATGCAAGCAAACATATTACACAAACAGAACAGGTGTAATGCAGATATTTTAACATAATTCATAGTATAATTCTGATCTAAATTAAATTAGTTTATCCTTTTTATTAAAACAACTTTTCATATTCTGTACTATATTAACTCAATCTCAAAAAAAGTAAATTAGAGCTCATTATGTCAAATGCAAATTAAATGAATAGTTTTATTGGGAACTAGTAATTATCAGAACGATTCCATTTCAAATCACTGGTTTTATTTAGGAAACATTATTTTAGCGAGTATAAGAGGTCTACACATGAATGACATTTTCCCAAACACAAGTGCCAATATAAACAAAGTTTCTATACTTCTGTAGAAGTACCATGTACCATGAATCTCCTCCAGAGTCACCATTCCAGTTATATTATTTATTTATAATATGCAGAATCTGAGCAAAGCAAACACTCTATTTTCTTCTTTGATCCCATCCACTGAAATAGAAATATAAAGCCAGATCGAGCTCACTAAACCTCTTTCATTCTATGAATTGTTTTTTATTAGATGGCCTGAGGTGCTTTGTTTTTCTATTCTCTTTCTTTATTCAGGGAAAGGGCCTAGCTCATTTCCTTTTCTATGAATAAAATACCTATGGCCCCTGACAGACGTTCATTTTAAGATGTGATGGGATCTAATCTGCAATACCAATAATCTTACTTCCTGCCATGGCACACATGAGGGGCATTAACTGAATGGGGCATTCTGAAGTTCTTTAATGCCATGAAACAACATCAACAACAAATATTTGCTCACCTTCCAAATTCTGTATTTTCTTGCACAACTTGCACCAGAATATAATATATGTTTTGTTTTTGAAAAAGAGAATGAAGAAAAAAGATTTTGTCCAGAGTTATGTCTGCATAAAGCAGGGATAGGGACTAATCTTTAGCTGATTCACATTTCCTTTCCTGCTTCACTAAAGCTGACACCTGAGCAGTTCCTAATGATTGGTCTCCATGGGTGGATCTATGTTTCTGAAAAAAGATAGTGTCACCAAGGCTATGAAGCAGGAGGAGAGAGACCAGAATAGTAGACAGAAAAATTGTCCTAAGAAAGGTTAGCCAGATTAGCAGAACATAAAGACCATTAAAAGGAGATGACTGTGAACACCTCTGGAGTGAAGAACACTAGGCCATTAAATCACCCAACTTCCTCCGCTGCCTAAATAGTAACGCACCTTTTGCTACACTGTGGGGCAGGAATCAAAGAGTGTTTCTGTACTGGGCAGAAAATCAGCTTTCCCACTTAATACATTTACCCAATTTGTGGGAGCTGGGAAAAGGTGTGTTGTAGATGAGACAATATGGTAATTTTTAATGCATGTTCTGGCAAAAATGGGGTAAATATATCTCAGTTCAGCTACACCATCTGCTATGGAATATATAGTTTATAAAGATTTCCACAAGTGTTAGGACCTCATCAGTGTTCTTCATTAAAAATGTGTAAATATTTTTCTTTTCATTAAAAATTGCAAATATTAATTTTAGGTTCATCTAAAACAATTCCCTTTTTAAATTTTTAGAAAATCAAAAAGTAAAAAACTCAGTATGTTTTGTAAATTTTTTAAACTACATTTGAAAATAAAAAAAAATGAAGTGTCACTTAAAAACACAATTTTCGAAGCAAAGAATTTGACCAACTTGAGGTGAGTTTGTGAATTGTGGTATTGATGTTAGATGTTTCAGCAACTCTAATATTTGGTTAAAAAAGAGTTTTGCTCGTAAAATTTTGCCTGTCTCTATTCTTCACACTATTGGTGGAGTTTTGTTATGCAGTATACTTACTAAGTTCCCATCTATTTAGTTAAATTAAAACATTAGCATAAGTTGAGGCATGCACAGCTGTCTGAGGTCAAGAAGTTTCAAGAAGGGATGAACAGTTCAACCCTCTAGGATGTCAGAAGTCTCAGTTTACAACTTGCCCAGATACACACATGCTTGGTAAAGTATGAATGTAATACTAGTGACCATGCCCGAGTGAGTGAATATTTGGCA